TATATGTGTTCATAATTCACCCATGGTGCTGATTTCCAGATCTAGAAACAGTACATCATAAACCAGGCTTGCAAATTGCTATTGTTCTTAATGAATGGTGACTTGTTACGAAGAATGATCCCTGGAACATCATTCTCTTTTAGGCAATTAACTTACTGATTTTACCAGTGAACAGGAATATGGACCACAGGAAGACTCTGTACCAGGGACGCGTGGATAACCATGTGACAACTACTTAAAAGATCAGGGGGAAAGGCTGTTTTGATTAAACACTCATATCTTTTTTTAAAAAATATATATCTTTATTGATTTCAGAGAGAGGAAGGGAGAGGGAGAGAGAGAGAGAAACATCAATGATGAGAGTCACTGATCGGCTGCCTCCTGCACGCCCCCTGCTGGGGATCAAACCCCCCAACCTGGGCCTGTGCCCTGACCGGGAATCAAATCGCGATCTCCTGGATCCTAGGTCGATGCTCAACCGCTGAGCCACATCAGCCAGGCTATTCTGTATCTTTTTAATCTCCTTGACAATCTTTGCATAGTATCACGGCCAGTTTCCTTCCTCTATGACTGGAGTGCATAAAATGTAATCTTTGTTTGATAGATGAACATCTTACGAAATTCACATTGTTCTGTATGATCTAGTCAGTGTCCACCTTTATATGCTCATCTCCCACCAGTCTCTCCCTGACTCACTGTATCCCACCCACAATGACTTGCTTTTCCCTCCTAGGGGAGACTGGTACATTTCCACCTCTGGGCACTTGTACATGCTAAATACTTGGCACAAAGTAGTAATGAATAAATAGAACACTGGGTACCCAATATGGTACGTTTGCCTGAAAGGTAAGCATTTGAGTCAAACAGCTGGATCAGTGCTGTCCAGTAGAACTTCCTTCGATGATGGGAATGCTCTAGATATGCACTAACAGAGTAGTCACTAGCCTCATGTGATCGCTGAGCACTTGAGATGTGACTAGTGCAACTGAGAAACCGAACTTTTCATCTTATTTAAGTTAAATTTAAAGTCACATGTGACTAGTGGTCACATATCAGATAGTGCACATTTTTGTATCTCCAAATAGTTAGATATCGGATGGTCTATAAACTTAGCTAAACAACATTAAGAAATTTGAAATTTTTATGAAGTCCGATTTATCATTTCTTTTCCTATTGCAGTCTCGTCCCTTGCTTTTATAGTTAAAATCCCTTCCCATCTTGAAATCTGTCACTGATATTTTCTTTTAATTGCGTTTGAGTTTTCTTTTACTTTTAACTCATTCATCAGCTGGAGTGTTTTTATTTATCTTACTTTTTGGAATATAGTATGAATTGAAAATCTAAGTTTTTTCCTTAATATTTGTCTCAGCACCATTTATTTCATAACGCTTCTTTTCCCCACTAATTTTTGATGCTGGCTTTATAGCATACTAAATTTATATTTGTGCTAGGTTATGTTCCAGAGTTTTTATTCAGTTATATTAATTTGTCTACTCTTACATCAATACCACTTTGTTTTAATTATCATAGCTTTAAAATACTCTTTAACGTCTGATAGTCTAGCTTGCTCTTGCTAGTCTTTGTTTTAGCTACTCTGATTCAGTTAATATAATGTCTAAACTTTTTTCCTCATGTCATTTCAGATGTGCGTGTAATGTAAGGTTATCATATCTTCCAAACCCCAAATCAGGACACATGATTGACACGTGAAAATGTGGTCACCATAATATTAAGTCACCTTTTCCAAGCACAGTGTGATGCACATGATACGTAAATGAGGTCAAGGCATTTGATAGTTTGTGATTTCTATAGTAATTCATTTTCCTATATACAATGCCTAAGATTCTTTTCCTTTTCCTGCATATTAATTTTTTAAAAATCCAAGGTTATTCGTTCTCTCTTCTGTTTTTACTGTTCAAGGAGCTCTTAGGTAGCTCCTAGACCAGCTGTGTCACCCACATATTCAATGCAGCCCAATTAGTTACTAAGAGTCAGAATGCATTGAATCAGAGTGTAACTAAAGTCAAAGCTGCAGGAAATAGCAGCAATACTAATGAGTTATTCAAAGCTGATTAGAATGCAAAAACCTCAGCCACTCTTTAAGTATCAGCTATAATGTGGAGTAATCAGGTAGCAGGTACTTGAAGCAATTGCTTGAAAATGTTTGGTTTGTTGTTTTGTTTTTTTTTGATTGAGAAGATTTTTGAAGAATTACATTTAAAAAATCAGGACCATGTTTTTCTAAAAGGTTCAATTGGCACTTTCTGATTTAATTAAAGTGCACACATACATGCACAAACAAGTATGCAAATATTAATCATTAGTCATAGTCAGCTAAATGAATTCTGAAACTACCGAATGAAGGACACTTAATGTATTCTTTGGGATACAATTTAAATAGTATAAAAATGGAATTATTGTCCAAAATCTTAGTCATGTGGCTTTCAGAGGTTATTTAATCTACCTTCCCATCTCAAGATAGAATCAAATCTATATTTAAAATCCATACCATCTTAATCTTACTAAGGGAAGAAATATGGTAATTAAAACTCTCAAGGAGCTTCCCCTTCATACTCCCTAAAGAAATGATCATAAAAATACACTGAACCCATATGGGATGTTTGATTCCCACACAAATATACAATTTTAAAGAAATATTCGGAGGTCAATACACATTCAGCAAAATCTTCTATACCTTTTGTGCCTATCTATACCACAGATATTGAGAATTAATAATCCATTAATCTATTAATATTTAACTGATTTATTCATTAAACATTTTGGCTACCTAGAGGTGACCTTGAGGCCATAAAATGCTTGATAATTAAATATTCAATTATTTTTATCAAGCTGTACTTTATTAAGGCAGGAAATGTATTTTGGCTCAACCCTAATTGAGCCAGAAATTATAATCACAGAGAGTGTTAATGTATTTTCTGAGCAGAAACCTTTTAATCAATATATCAACTGAGAAATCTCTATTACTACCTCAAATCGTGTATGGAATGAGGCAGACCACCTAGGCTTACACCCTGGCTCTATCATTTTCTTGCTATAGATTCTTATTTCACTTCACTGTGCCTCGGTTTCCTAATTTGTAAAGCAGTGTTAATAGTAGTTCTGCCTCAGGGGGTTAAATGAAATGATTCACGAAAGGACTCAGCACAGTGCCTTGTACAGAGCAAAGCCCCAATACAAGCAAGCTAATGTCATTCGTGATTATATTGAGCATGTAACTATGGACTCTGGGTCATGCTTCCCATGCCGCAAGAAAATCATATAGGCAGAATATAATTAAGTGCTTGGCTGTATGGTACATGTGCTAAGCACCAGGGGAGACTGGGGTGGTGGATGTCTGAGGTTTCCTGAGAGATATGGCCTGAGTTGGGGCTTCAGTGATGGACAGAGAATGATGGGTGTACAGGAGAGGGCCCAGCAGGTAAAGAGGCGTATAATGCAAAGGAAGTAAAGGAAGGAAAAGGTAAGTCTTGGAGGGCCATAAAAGTCAAGTAAATAATTGATTAGTGTAACATTTAATTGAAAATCTCACTCTAGCTTCTCAAATGAGAACTTCAATTTAGACAGGTAGTAAACAATCTTGTCGGAAAATGGTCTGTTATCCTAAGCTTATAGTATCTGTATGTGTGTGGGTGGGGGTGAGGGGAGTGGTGTAGTCTGTCGCCTTTTCTTTTTGTTTTCCTTTTTTAAAATTTATCTTTACTGTTGAAAGAATTACAGATGTCCCCCTTTCTTCCCATTGACCCCTTCTCCCCACCCCCTCAAGCCTTCATCACGGTTTTTCATCTTCTAAGTAGTTCACATGAATGAGCTTTGCCCAAATCGTAGAGCCAGCAGTACACAGCAGAGCTCGTATTTGAGGCCAGAAAGTCTAACTTCGAAGCCCTGTGCTCTTAACCGCAAAATTTCTTCCACATAAAATTCCTAAGGTCTTACATCACTTTAAGGTTAAACTGCTAGCCAGGATGAGAAAAGGAGGAAATGCACACTCAGTTCGGTGCTTAAATGAAGATTGCTGCCTTACTGATTTCCACCCCACGTTTGGATTTAAACGACAACGTGTATGTACAAGCGGTGCAGAAAACTGAGGAGCCAAACTGCAAAATCTACTTCACTGTAAGCAAGCGCACGGAAGTTAGGGAGGAAGCTTTCTGTTAATTTTACGTTTCCTTGAGTCGAAAGTTACTATAGGAAAGTGAGCTTTTGTTGTTTTAGGCTCATTCAGAGGTGATTTGTGCTGTTTTGAGGCCTGATTGCACAAAGTATTAGGCGATTTTGTTGGCTTGACTAAAACACAAGTGGTTACCCTGAGGCCTTGGAGCCACATAGGGCTTATAAAACATCATGTGCAGCTCTTGAGTCACGTATAAACGTGTCTACTGTGAATCGTCTTGATGCTGTGTCTTTTGAAAGGTATAAAGTGTTACTAAAAGGTAGAGACACAAGAGAGAGCTCTACCGAACTAAGAACAAAGAAAACAGTTTCACATTCCGCACAGTGCAAGCTACACTAGCACCTGACAGTTTGGACATGGGCACACTGATTTAATTTGGTATACAGCAAATGCCATAGGTATGGGAGGCAACATGTTTGTACTAGTTAAGAAAACCGAGTCTGAAGTCATATCTCCCTGAATTGGAATCTTGGTTCTGTTAATTTCTAGCTGTGTGACCTTGGAAAAGTCACTTACCATCCCTGCTCCAAGCATTAGTTTTCCCATTTATAAATAGGGAAAATAGTACCTGTACCTCATAGTGTTGGTATGGGGATTAAAAGATATATAATGAATGCAAAGAACTCCGAGTATTTCCTGACCACAGTAAATTTTCAATGAACTGAGATTTAAAAAACAGTATGACCTCATCGAACTCAATATTGTTTATATTAAGGATTCGTAATTTTCACTCTTGGCCAGATTGGTTGTCACTGTGCTAGAGGTTGGGCTATTCCTTTCTTATATGAACATTTTATAAATGACTCACCTCCATCATTGTCCAAGTTATCTCCACAAAGCATTTCCATGACAACATTGCAGCCTGTCCCACTCCAACCCACCTGACACACACAGTGCCAACCATTTTGATCCAGAGTACATCGTCCATTTCCAAAGCAGAGTCCCGGGCAGCCATCTGAAAAGACAGCAGAGAGTAACAATCACGGAGACATCAGAATGGCACTGGCCAACAACGCTGCATCTCCCTATAGGGAAGCGGCTAATCATCTGTGCTCCATTCAGATGCGGTGGTGAATAAACGGAATAGGAGCTCACTTGCTTACCCAAACTTCCCAGGGAACCTGCTATCCCTCACTCCGCTGTGCTTTGCCTTGGGGAGCCAATTAAGCATTATCAATGCAAGCCCCAATTCCCAACCTCTGGGTCAGACACGAGGAAAACTATGATGGGGACAAAAAATGTTTTCTGTTTCTTTTTGAAAAATGTATCTCCTCATCTCAATCAAAACTGGATGGATGATACCGTTTGTAGTTATGGCCAAAACGCTGGGAAAAGGAAGCCGTTTCTAAGAAGAGAAACATCCCCTAACTACTACTAGCCTGTGTGGGTTTTTTCCTTGGGATGCATGGCTTTAGGACTTAGGCATGTTGGTATGTAGTTCAGACCTTACCATTAAGTCTTTGCCCATATGGTGCCATAAAAAATGCTGCAGCTGCTTTACATCTAATTCAGTTTTTCTCTTCAAGATTGTGATGAATCTGAAGGCTAAAGAGTGATTTTCTTACTTAGCTGTATGTCTCTCAGGAGCTAGCACAATATTGTGCCTGTAGTGTAAGTGCTCAGCTTACTACAGGCACAAATTTAGACTGCTAAATTTAGACTTTTGGAATTCTAGAGAATAGCTGGATAAATTTAGTTAAGAGAAAATTGTTATGTTTAAATGACTTCTATCCATTGATGAACTACAAACACTGGCGATGCTCTCTAGTTAGACTTTTGATTTCTCAGGGATCCCTTACTCTTCCTACCAGTAGTTCAGAGGTAGGTTATTCCAAAGGGCAACTGTGCATGTGCCAAGTGTTCAGTGGGCAGACAAACAGAGGCAGCAATAAAGGCACAGAGCTTCTAGAAATGTTTCCAGTAGCCATACAGGACCAGACCTGGGTTTTACTGGAGACAGTCCAATCAATATTCTTTTCATTTTCTGTCTTTGTAAGAAAATTCCATAAGTATAAAGGGCAAAAGAAAATGTTTTGTTTTTAAAAAAATCTGCAGATGCAACAGTGTTCCTTCCAAATGTTTTTCCAAGCGACTATCAATAGACCAGAGGAAGGAAAAACTTTAAAATGAAGTGATAAGTGGCTGCTAGAAAATATGAAAATATTACATGTATAGTTGTCCCTTGGTATCTGCGGGTAATTGGTTCCAGGATCCCAGGGGTACCAAAATCCAAGGATGTTCAAGTCCCTTATGTAAAATGGTGTTGTATTTGCATATAACCTATGCACATCTTCCCATATATTTTAAATCATCTCTACATTACTTATAATACCAAATACAATGTAAATGCCATGTAAATGTTGTTATACTGTATTGTTTAGGAATCAAGTTTCAGGAATTTTTGTTTTCTAATACAGGGTGGAGCAAAAGTAGCTATACAGTTGTGAGTACACAAAACACAGAGTTTATTCTTTTATTATTATTTATCAATTATTGTATTATTTTCTGCAGGGACAACTGTAAACCTACTTTTACCCCACCCTGTATTTTCGATGTGCGGTTAGTTGAATCTGCAGATGTGGAACCCACAGATACGGAGGACCAACTGCTGTGTGTGTATGTGTGTGTGTGTGTGTGTGTGTATACACATAGTCACCCACTGCTTAATAACAGGAATATGTTCTGAGAAATGTGCCATGAGGCAATTTTGTTGTAGAACATCCTTGAGCATACTTACACAAGCTTAGATGGCATAGCCTACTGCTGCAATGGTATGTGCTCTACTTTTATATGACTTGCAGGGCAAGTTTTTACACCAGCATCACCACAAACGCGTGAGTAATACTTACGCTATCACATCATGCTGGCTATGATGTCACTAGGCAACAGGAATGTTTCATCTCCATTATAATCTTATGGGACCACTGTTATATATGTGGTCCGTCATTGACTGAAACATCATAATGAGGCACAAGGTTCTGTGTGTGTGTGTGTTTGTGCGTGTGTGTGTATACATATATATTCCTCAAGAAGTGGTATAGGATGAATATATATAGGTTTAAGAAAGGAATTTATCTAGTTCCATTTTCATGGCTATACAAAGAATAAGAGAATTTCGAAATAATTTTCAATGTATTCACCCTTCTGAGGCTGAGGTAATGAAAGGCACCAGGATATACGACAGAAAAACCCTTACTATCTCTATCAAAGGCAGATCGGG